CTAGTTGCAATTCCACACTCTGTCACCCTCCGACAAGTACAGTAGGGTATCAGGGGGTGGGGTCGTGACAATGATACTCTATTTAGACAATCAGTTAGCCCTGCACATTGCCACTCATCTAGATTATCATGAAAGGACGAAACACATTGAAATCGATTTTCATCTCTTCCAAGAAAAAATTCAAGACACCCTTCTTTAAACACCATACATTCCAACTAGTTATCAGAATGTCGTTATGGTCACCTATGCCTTGGGAAAAGATCTGTTTCAACTTCTTAAAGAGCAAGTTGGGCATCAATAACGTTCATGCTCCAACTTGGGGGCTGTATTAGGCAAGTTTGCAAATTGAAAACAACAAGAATTAAGGTTAATCCCATTATCTCCTTTCCTTATCTTCTCCCTCAATCTTCTCCGCAATCCCAATAATTAAGGGATTTTTGTTGTAAAATTTGCATTGTATTATCTTCACATTCCATGAATGAGAAAAATGCAAGCATCCAAATTTTTTCAAAACAAGGGTTCACAGCTTCCACGTCCACTTATCTGTTTTTATTCTCAGTCATTTTTCCAGGGCTCATAGGTTTCCATAGATTTCTTGAATTCCAAATTTTCAAACATGACCTTTCTGACACCCAAATTCCTTGAACCCTTCTCAAGAAGTTCACATTATTATCACATTTTCTATAAATAATTGAGAGTTGAAAGGCAATATTCCTAAGTTTGCTTATTCGATATGTTGTTTTCTACATAAATTCCACGAAATAGAATGCGCATATTCAATAAGGAGCACCAAGAACATTCTAGGTACAAACTATAGACCATCTAAATTTTAAGTACTATAGGCACAATGAGGCTGCATTCCATAATCCGTCAAGTTATTCACATGAGAGCAAATAAATTTTAGAGTCAATTATGTACTCACACAAAAAAGTAGTCAAAATACAAAAAAAAGTCAAATTGACTTAAAAATTACAAGGAATGTTGGTTACCGTAGACTTTTAAATTTTTCCAAAATACCCCTCAGTCTGGGGATACCATCCCCAAACAGTTTTTTTTTCTTCTTTGTGTCCTACGTTTTAGGATATTTGGCGACCAATCTAAGGTTCCCATCATCAGACTGCTCAAATTGTGATGTTATATCCCATTATAAGTGGTCCAAGGACGGAGATCTCAGATTGCTCGCTTGGCTCAATCTAGTTAGCAATCCGAGGTCCCCATCCCCGGACTGCCCACACTATGGTGCTTGACCACAGTATAGGTGGTATGGGGATGGAGACCAAGGACTACTTGTAATGCGATGTAACACTACAATCTAGGCAGATGCAAGAGTACAATGTGGGCAGTCCGAGGATGGGGACTTCAGACCTGTCGCCAATTGCCCTCAAACATAGAACAATTAAGAAAACTGAAAAATATAAAAATAAAACCAGTCTGAGGATGGTATCCTCGGACCAAGGAGAAATTTAAAAAATCTTCATTAACCGATCTTTCTTGTAATTTTTGAGTCAATTCGACTCTTTTTGTATTTTGCCTACTTATTTTTTTTTGTGTATATAATTGGCTTTAAATTTTAAGGAAAAGTATACAATGAGACCATTTACATTTAGTACAAGGCAGTCATAACTAATCTTGACCATTGGATGTGAAATAGGGTGGCTGCATTTATTCCATTGACTAAGCTCAAACTTCAAAAGAATTTTTTTTGAACTTTGTGATACACCCAAACTATTAGATTTTACATTAATTAGTTATGGAATTGTATACAATGAGATTATATAAAGAGGTCACAATTATTTATATAATCATTCGATGTGAAATTTAATAGTTTGGATGAGTCACAAGGTTTAAGAAATTTTTTTTGAACTTTGAGCTTGGTTAATGCAATAAATGTAGCTACCCAATTTTACATCTAATGGTCAATATTAATTGTGACCATCTTATACCAAAGAAAAATGATCTTATTATATTCTTTTTCATTTGCTATAAGTAATTTTGACCTTGTACCAAAAGTAAATGGTCTCATTGTATACAATCCCAAATAACTCATTGTTCTACAATCTCAGTATCAAGGCCTGTGTGGAGATAATTGGAACCAATCCTCAATTTCATAGTGACAAACCCATAATAACATAGTGGGTGCTACCAGCCCTCTAGTGAATCAATCACCCATAATAACATGGTGGGTGCTACCAGCCCTCTAGTGAATCAATCGCGACTATCATCATCATCATCACCATAGTGGGTTCTACCAGCCCTCTAGTAAATCAATCGCGACTATCATCATTATCATCACCATTATCATGGCAGTTTTCTCATCTCAAGTTCTAGCTGTGAGTTCTTTTTCTTTTTGGTCAGGTAACAAGCATGAGATCAAATATTTGGACGTAGTTATTGATCTCAAAACATGAAGAAATTGTAAAGAAACTCACAAATAAAATCTAAGCAATGAATCAGAGAAAGAACACCTTATCCAGCAAATTCAAAGAACTCCTGGGGATTGTCAATCATTCCATATAAACCATCCAAAGTTTTGAAACCCAAGAATTTTATAGTCGAACTTTTTGGTAATTAACATTAATAGTGAATTGCCTTGGGGTTCTTCCGCCTACGCTCGATAGAGAAGCATAAAGGCAACTAACATGTTCACATTTTTTCTTCTTCTATCTGACATATCGAAGAACCCAACCTTTTCAAGATTTTTTTTTTGCTTCATTCGATTGCCAATTAAAAAAAAAACATTACAAGAAAATTAAAAAAATGAATGTTAAGATTAAAATTTTAATTCCACAGGATTCATTCATATAATATAGATCTATTCAACTGTAACAAAAAAAAAAAAAAAAGGAAAGAAAAGAAAACGCGCAAAGAACAGAATTCTACAGAGAGAGCGACAGAGAGTACCGTGAGAAGGTCGTTCATCTTGGAGAAAGCAGATTGCAGACACACAAGAGAGACTTGAGATAGAGAGAATGGAGGGTTTAAATGAGAATCCTGATGTCGCTTAATCCGCCAAAAACAAGGAAGTTGGTGAGAGAAATTCAAAGAGGTAACAAACAAGAGTAAGTGGGACATGAGCTAAACTAAAGGTGGCCGGCCTTTCTTAAGTGGGAAATTGCTTTATGATACGTGTATCAGCAGTGTAGGGATTTTTTTTGTTTTTGTTTTTTATTTATTTTTAACATTAACAAGCGGCTATTATTAACTAAACACAAAAACAGATAAAGTTCCAAGGGGATCAAACTATATAAAAGAACATCACAAGAAATTGGTAATCACTAATGAAGATCGAAAGGAACCTCCCTTACAATTTGATGCAAGTCATCCCACCGTCCACAATCAAGGACAAGAGTGTAGAAATGATATTGTTTCTGCTGAATGGGCCTATCTGCTTCACTTATTCTCATTTTCAGTATGTAGTTGTATGAATTAGTGTTTGATTACTCGGACGATCTAACTCGGACTCACCACTATGGTGAGCCTGAATATCCTCGAGTTGGGTGGTCAACTCAAGGACCTTATCCAAAAAAAAAAATCAAAGAAATATAAAAAATCCAAAAAATAAGAAATTTATTTCTAAATTCTTTTTATGTTTTATATCATTTGGACAAAGATAGGAAAGTGTTTTGGTCATGAATACTTATGTTTATATTTTTCCTTATTTTTAGATTATTTCTAAAATACTCCCTGTCACAAATGATTTTTTAAAAATCCATTTTTCACTACCCTTTTAAACCTCATGTAGATGGGTTTTATTTAGTTTTACTTTGAGCATGTTTTCCTATTTTTTAGATTTTTTTTGTATCTTTTAATTTGTTTTTAACACTTTTTGGCTTGGTCGGGGCCTTGCCCAACTTGGGTCGAGTAACTTGGACTTAGCCCGGGGATGGACGGAGTAAGTTGGACTGGGGTCAAGAATGGGCCGTGTCCATCCCCCAAGTGGTGAATTTGGACACTAGTATGAATAAAACACATAAGGAACTTGTGTGTTGCACGACTATAAGAAAATAAAATCTAATAAATCAGATATAATTACATTGATATAGATAAAAAATTGAATTATGACCCATGTTTTCTATAAGGAAAAAGTTTATATAGAGCCCAGGCTCTAAACAATCAAATTAGAACCCACTTCAAAAATTTCACTAGAAGAGGTTGTTTTGATGCTTAAATATCTCCAAATTGATCATCTCGACATCAAGATGTGTGGACATGATAAAAAAAATAGATTTCAAGTTTTGGAAATAATGTATCTTATAACACATTTTTGGACCTTCAATTTTCTAGATTTTCAAGTTTTATAGATCTGCTCGATCTACACTATTTTTGAAGCTTTAAATTTTACAATTGAAAATAAAAATATAATTTAAGGCTATCCCAAAGTTTTCTAGTATTGAAATAATATTTCTCGACAATATTTGAAGGTACGCTTTACTTTGATTGTTAGAGCCTCGGCACTATACAAACCGTACCTTAAAATATATTTTCATCACTAATAAAATTTAAAGCTTAAAAAATAGTGTAGATCGAGCGGATCTATGAAAGCTTGAAAATCTTGATAATTGACGGTACAAAAATGCATTATAAGATGCACTATTTCTAAAACTTGAAATTTATTTTTTTCTCATGTCCATGTATCTTGAGGATGAGATGATAAATTTGAGGATATTGCGCATCAAAACAACATTTTCTAGTGAAATTTTTGGGGTGCTCCCTAATTTGATTTTTTAGAGTCTCGAACTTATATAAACTTTTTCCTTTATATAATATGTACTCCTGAAATAAAAAATGCCTACAATTTTTAAGCAATCTTTTCCAAACTAGTTAGTATGGGGTAGGGGTTAGATCTCCTCGTTAGCTTCAATCTTGGTCTTCATGAATGTTAGGTATTCCCATCTTTCCCTATATCTCCTTCTATCATGGGAGCTCCTACGTGCTATCCTCTAAAATTCATTTCTTTTTCTATTTTGTTTTTTTGACAAATGTTACTATTTTTATTGAATACTAAGGAAAAGTGATTACATCATTAGAAATAACGAGAGAAGGTAAATGAGCACTACCCTTTGCCAACGCATCCTCCACAGAATTCACTTCACGATAAACATGAGAAAAAGTGACCATCATGGAGGAAGCCATGTCCATAATCCGTAACCATAACAGTCGAAGTTCCCATGGGACATGTTGTTCCTTATTATACCACCTAATCACATTGAGTTAATCCCCTTCTATCCAGTAGTTATTGCCACAATTTCTTTCAATAAAAATATTCAAACCATGGAATAATGCACTTAGCTCTACAAAATTTGCGGTTACACAACCTATCGGGTTAGCATACAAAAAAAGAATGTTACCAATAAAGTCACGCAAAACTCCTCCAATACCTGTTGTCTGAGGATTACCAAAAGAGCTACCATCAAAATTGAGTTTCAGACTACCAACATGAGGCGCAGTCCAAATAAATTTTGGTCTAATCCTAACAAAACCGAGAGAAAAAGGTTGGGTAAATTTGCGAAGACATCAATCTTAGAAATACGCCAACCCCCTTTTAACATAGATAGCCATGACCAAATAGAAAGTTTAATAGAATGAATCAATATATCCAGAGACAAAGAGACCCCTTCGAAGGTCCTTCTATTTCTTTCTTTCCAAACTTCCCACAGAATAACTCTTTTAGCTATCCTCTAAATAATCTTACCTACCTTAGGCAGATGAGGTAAGGAAAATTGAGAAACAATACCCTCTACAGATTGGGGAAGTGCCAAATTAATATCTAAAACACCAAACAACCAATACCAAATTTGCACCGTGAAGGGGCAATATATAAAGATATGCACACCAGATTAACCATCATATTTACACAATAAGCATATATTTGGTAAAATCGTTCCCTTTTTTATTAGGTTATGGATAGTCAAAACCTTATTCATAGCCGTCAGCGAAATAAATACTTGAACTTTGTGAGGTATCGGTTATTTCCAAACTTGGCCAATCTGAGGGCAAGACCATCTCCACCCTTCGTGAAACATAAGATTATAACAAGACTTAACAGTGAAAGTACCAGCACTCTCAATCTCCCATACCATTTCATCCTCCGCATTTGGTGAAACATAAATTTTATCCAACAGTTCCATAAGTGCACACCATTGAGAAAGTAAGACATTGTTCAATTCACTGTATGCTAAGAAAATATTCCAGGATATAGTATCACCCCTCCTTTCAAACGCCTCACTGACTTTAATGTATTGGGCCTCATGACAATCCCAAACAGCTCTGAGAAAATAGACTTAAGAGGGTACTCCCTCACCCACTAATGATGTCAAAAAGAAATTTGATTGCCACAGCCTATATTCCATCTGAAGTATCCCTAAATCATTAGTTTACAATTAGCGATAAACTTCCACAACTGCGAGGTATCCTTGCCCTACCTCCCCCAAGCCAAATCTCAGATCTATCCACGCCATACTTAGATATACTAGGACCTGGTACCAAAGATGATCTTTTAGGTGAAGACTTTGCCACCACCATTTACACAATAAAGCTTGATTCACAATTGTAATACTTCTAATTCCTAGTCTGTTTGAAGACATTTTTCATCACCTTGGGTCCCCGATGTGGAATAAAAGAGAAGTCGGTCAATAAAGCCTTGACATACAGTAGAATTCCTGATAATCTCATAATTACCCCATAGTGGGTCAGAATCTTCCTAAGCACTTCAAAAGGCCACCTGTCAAGTTTCGTCGCAATACGACATGTCTAAGGCAATGCAAACAAATAAACAATATTAAAAAAATTATCCTCTAGCACCCTGAAATGGATCCCGTAATTAGAACTCTATTTTCGGTGTGTCACCACTGTCATTGGATCCGACAAGGTCGAAAAACCCTTAGGGGTCAAGTTTTGGATTAAACAGACGTTTCAAGACAAAGTTATGGGTGAAAAATTAAAAAGAGGTAGGCCGCACGCTATTCCCTTGTGACCTCCCTGCACCAATCTCCATTAAAGGTGACTGGTTCGCACAGTCACGAGCAGCAACTTTCAAGATTCGTATCTCACTCGTTTTGAGTCGGATCGTGCTCAAATTTGATGTGCATGTTCGTCTTGTCAAGACGAGCATTTTGATATGTGTCACGTCTCATGAAAATACCCTAGGAGGGAGAAAAACTAGAGAGAAATTGACGATTTGTGAAGACAGTTGCAGAAAATTCAGTAGCAGCATGCATCGCTCGAGCGGCCATATCATGCGTTCACATACACGATCGACACGAAACCAATTGCATTATGTATGTAAGGTCTAAGGCTATGTTTAGCTTGAAATCCACATATGATGAATTGGCTGGATTTGGCACACGAAAGCATCAAAGTTTCTGCAGATTCCGCCAGCCAGATTTTAAGATCTAGTAAAAAACCCAAGACGGCGAAATCTTTGTCTGGGCACGAAATCGAGTTGCAATCATTGTAACGCGATTGTGATGGCATGCTTAATGAAATTCAGTGAATAAATCAATGAAAAACATCAAGAAACAAGCACATTATTAATCAAAAGTTTTCAAGATCTATACATATTTCGAGTCGCATGATCGTGGCCTAAAACTGTGATTCGTATCTCACTCGTTTTGAGTCGGATCGTGCTCAAATTCGATGTGCATGTTCGTCTTGTCAAGACGAGCATTTTAATACGTGTCACGTCTCATGAAAATACCCTAGGAGGGAGAAAAACTAGAGAGAAATTGACAATTTGTGAAGACAGTTGCAGAAAATTCAG